CCACTTTTGTCAGCCCCCCCCAACCCCATCCCAGCCACACTCTCTGAACCCCTATCTCAAGTGACGTAGATATACGTCAGTGATGTGCTCTGCTGTTGACATCAACACAGTCAGAGTTACACACAGGGGCTAATGTTACATGTGTAGTGTGTAGCTGTTCTTGTCACGTGTCACGTTGCTCTGATTGGACTTGGTCACATGGGCAGCCAAACACAGAGGCAGCCAAACACAGAGGCAGCCAAACACATGGGCAGCCAAACACAGAGGCAGCCAAACACAGAGGCACATTACCTCCGAACCCGATATCCGGTGACCATTGGCAAGATCGGTTCTGTTCGATTCGATTTGGTTTGGTTCGGTTGGCAAGACTACCCTACTCCACTTGTATAAAGGCCAATGAACAGATAAGTTCGGTTTACTTCTAGTTTATGACGTCACCAGCGGAACAAAGTCAGTTGATTCCTCATCCAGCTACAGTCTAGACATGGTTGCCTCCTGTACTCGGGACCATAGAGTTACCCCCTTTTAAACAGAGTACACCTATGCTCGGGGCTAACAATTCAAGTTTTCATTTTCTATGGGCCAAAATCTTTCCAACTTGTATCCCATTACAAAATGGACCTTTCAGTTTGGAGAAGTGTACATTAGTTATAGATATCTATCCTGTATTCCCGAGCAAATAATGCACAGTGCGATTTGGATTGATTTATTTATTCTGGTACCGGTACACAATACTGAAAAAGAAAGTTTACAGTGGGTAAACTGCTGTGTCATGGTCCTGTTGAGCAACAGACATTATTTCTTTTTTTTTTTTTTTTTTTGAAAAAGAGAACCCAGATGTATGTCCTAGCTTCCTGTCAATGTTGATGTCCATTGAGTCAAAAACAAGAAAGTTATTCACATTTCTTTTCATTAACTTTTTTTTCCTGGTCTGCTCGTACATATACTATCGTTAGTGTCGCACTCAATACATTTAAGACTGTTTAGGTACCTTTAAACCAGAGACAAAAAGAGATGAAAAGCAGGAAAAGTGTACGCCTTGACCATAACATTAAACTGTGTTTTGGAGGTGTTGAAAGGTGCATCTATGATAGAGCTTTGAAAGAGTGTAAAAATCGAAAATTATCTAAATTTGGACTTTCATGGATTGCTTGCAACAGCGACAATAATCTATATCAACGCACTACATGTACCACAGAGCCTCACTGCTATACAGACTAGCATCTGTGGTGTAGCAGCCAGGTGCTTCGACGTCGCGCGCAGAAGGGTGAAGTTCGATTCCCATATGGGGAGAATTTTTCAAGACCACCTTAGTCTTTCAGCCGGGGACATTGCATCCCTCTCAGCCTGGGTTGTCACTGACATGGAGAGTTGAGGACCACCTCCATCACATCTAGAGTGTGTCGATTGCAGAGTAAAAAAATATACGTATAAAAAATGTATATATATA